TATAACTCTGGTCTCAGCGAATTCACCCCAGGCCACCCATTACCTCAAATCCTGACTGAGGGAATTCCCCATGAGATGAACTCGCAGTAGTTACCCATGGCGAGGGTCAACTTTGCGACCCGAAGTTCTACTCTAAGTGTTGTTTGGGACTATTGAGTAGCGAGGCAACAGAGGTAGAATAACCAGGACTGAAAACGTCACATGCTAAAAAATTAAAAACACTTGGAAGTTGTAGAAAATAATTTTTGCATATTCTTTCCTTGCTAAGTTCTATTTGGTATAATTTAATTTTTTTAAAATTCATTCCCATGTGTACAGATTTGTTTGCTACTCTGAGAAAATTTGAGGGGATTGTACTCTTAATTCCTTTCAAATTGAGGGGAAAAAAATTTCAATGTTTTACCTGCAACACTTTTAAAAAAATATGAATAGACGCCCGAATGGAACTTTTGTGTTCGGCCACATTCAAGTTCCTAATTTTTTGCGTTAGGGTAACTAAATGTAGCCTAAAGACTCCGAATATGCGATTTTTAGATGGTTTCTGTATGTATACATGTATGAATGCGTGCCTGTGTGTGTGCGTGTTTTTTGCTTTTTTTTCTCTCTCTGTTTTTCTTCGCCAGGGATTCATCGAATACCATGACTTTTTGAAATGAATATAGTCTTTTTAAGCTGTATCTATTGACACTGATTAATTTTGGAATTTCCAAGAATCTGTAATTTTTTACTGAATTTTTTTCCGTTTTTTTTTTTAATTTCTTCACGGAGGATAAATAGAATCGCATGAATTTATCTGTAAATATAGACGTTCATATGCTCCATTCATTGACATTAATTGAAATTGAAATGGGCAGAAGGATTCGGAAATATTCGTATTTTTTCGGATTGATTTTCAACGATAACTCAAGTAATTATTATCAGAGAGGAATTAATGACCGCTTAAAAAATAGATATTAATAGGCTCTTGGTCGTCTCAGAATATGGAGGGAATCGCATAATTTCTTGTTACGTTATAGCATATTGTACATGAGATTATTTGTTCATCTTCTTTGTGATTAACGGAAAATATTATGAGCAATATCAATGAAATGACGGTTCAATTTTTTTTCTCAATGCATTCTTGTTCAAGTCAGAAAATGATGGAACTACCCTTATTATTTTCCAATTTTCAGAAAATCCATTCGGAAGTATGTCGCTAATTTTTTAGCAACAATAGCTATACGCAGTTCGTTATAATGGCATTCCCCACTTGTTTATCTTGTAAATGACTCAGTATACTGAGAGTCACAGATTTCTTTTTACTGATCAATACCTCGTTTGCCACAATAAAACTACGTCCTGATAAGTCGACCATCATTTAACGGGTATATAATTACAATTTTCACGACTCCAGGAGCTGATTTTAAATTTTAAGTTCACCATTTTTTTGAACGATTCCAGTGTTAGTAATTGAACGAATGAAATGTGCTCCACAATTGTATGATGTGTTCCGTGAAAATTCTGGGCTGCGAATTTTGTAATCTATTATTTAGAAAAAGTTAATGCACAGAGTAGTATATTGTTATATATTTGTTGTTTTTTTCTCTCTTTAGTAAATTCATGTGCGTCCGTCTTTCTATAAATTTTATTACTTCTTTATATTGTGTTTTATTCTGCAAATATGTGATATTTCATATTCGTTCTTAAATAAACTTATTATTTTTATTATTCAAGGCATTCTTGTTTTACAATATATTAGGTTTCATAAGAACTTTATTCCAGTTATGTGGATGATTTTCCCATGGGTATAAAGTAGATTAGCTGTGAGAGTAGTCATTACCTAACTTCAGGAAATTACTTCAAGACGATTACAGTCTCGTCCAACTGATGGTGTTTGTTTTTCTATTAAACATAATTTTGTTCGATAATTTACTTTGGTCATCATTAACAGTCTTCAGAAATAATATTATGAATTGGAATAAAATTCCATCCGTGGGTGATTTATTAGATTGTTGCTGAAGACTGTTAAAGATGGTCGAAGCAATCATCGAAAAAGAACTAGTTCCAGTCAGTCAATGATCATTTTATGGAATATAAGCATGATGTTTGTTATTAGTGGAATATTCTTAGATAAAATACGGAAGAGGAAACCATGAGTTGGCATTCCTATGTAAATGTTATTTTAAAGGGGTTTCAAGGCTAATTTACCTATTTGAAGGTGTCTTTTCAAGCGTCATTCTGCTCCTGCTGAATATTTATTTTGATTTTATTCGCCAATTATGACTAATGTTCACGTATTCTCAGCAAAAAACTAGTCCTATCAATAATTATCAAATCAGAAATAATGAAAATAATGTATTTCAGAGATTTGGTCGCGAGGGGCCCAAGGACACAATAGTGCTGTTCATAATATCAACTTAATTTATTCATCCTGTGTACAAAAAATTGATTCAATGAATTTTTTTTTTACTATTTTTACATAATTTAACATATGATAAATAAACCATCGGTCTGAGAAATAAATCAGTGAGCTAATTCTCGGGATAGGACACTCACAAACAACTTCAAAATTCATAAGTAAGTCTTACAAAATTAATTATCGATTAATAAATCGTAAATAAATCAATAAACCTAGGAGTAACAGAATTAAAAATGAGCACGAATCGAATATTTTTCTCGTAGTTGATAATGTTGTATGAAGATCTCATAGGACAGCACAACGATCCATTATTAAGCATTCTTTGAGATTATTAAAGGCATAATTTTCATTTTATGGAAGAGTTGTCTCGTTTCGCCAATAATAATTGACACGGAACTTTGCCGCACGTGACCGCCGCTTCCGTAATATCGCAATATATACATCTGATAATGCGATAACTCCAGAGATCCCCCGGGTGTGGACGATAGCTTTGCCAGAAGCTCCCGAGATTAAGCCTCGTAAAATTATAAAGTTCCACAAGGAGTAGCAGGGTTTTTCGGTTTTATACACACTATCGGTACTAGTGGGTATACCCAACGAAATTGCCAGACGACGCTCGTTCAGACACGCGTATAAGCGACGCTGAATTACTTTACGAGATACTATCGAATCGTGCCTTGAATTCTTACAAACTCCAATATCTGTTGTCTTCGTCTGTGGAAATAATACATTGATAATAGAATTTAT